TCTATGCACCAACACCAGCACCTAGTCCATCTTTCAAAGCAAGTTTGGAACTCTTTTTTTTACCTTTCATTACCCTTGATGTTCTGAATGTTACCAAAATGTCTTCCTTCCAATATTTTCTTTATCTTCAGGTAAAGAAAAAAGGCATTGCGGGCCAGATCAGGTGAGTAGGGAGGGTGTTCCAATACAGGTATTTGTTTACTGGGTAAAAACTCCCTCACAGATAGTGCCATGTGAGCTGGTGCACTGTCGTGATACAAGAGACATGAGTCGCTGGCTGAAATTTTCAGTTAAGATTTTCCTGTTTCTCTTTTGATATTTACGTGGTCTGCTGTGCTCCTCATAGTCAACTGATGATTTTGATGCACAATTTGATGAATTTTTGCAATGTTTTCATCAGCTCTCCTTGTCACTGGCCATCCTGATTGCTCCTCAACAGTGATACTTTCTTTCCCCTCAGAAAAATGTTTAACCCATTTTTACACTGCCTTTTTCTTCATGGTATTATCCCCATAAACTTGGACTAACATGTCCCTAAGTTCACTTCCAATCTTGCCAAGTTTAACAAGAAATTTTGATGTTTGTTCATTGTTCTAATTCGAGCTTCAACATTCTTGCAATAGCATACAAAAACACACAACAATAACTAATGATACTGAGCAAGACATCACCACATGTTGATACAAACATAACGATGGGACACTGATATGCCAAGTTTACAAAACCTTACTGAGTTGTTTGTACAGTTTTGTTAATGTAAATGCATGGTAGCAAGTTTGCAAACGTAATTGTCAGATCTTGTACGTGTATATTCATATTGGGGCACTATTATTACTTTAGCAAATGTGGTTGGTTGACTTAAATAAACTTCCCATGCCAGCAAGTTGATATTTTTTATGTATTAATTCATCAAATTGTGTACTTTTTTAAGAGATGGGTCTTGCTTTGTTGCCCAGGCTAGAGTACAATGGCATGATGATAGCTCACTGCAATGTTGAACTCCCGGGCTTAAGTAATCCTCCTGCCTCAGTGCCCCAAGTAGCTAGGACTATATGTGCATGCCACCATGCCTGGCTAAATTTTTATTTTTTTTGTTGAGATGGGGGTCTCACTCTGTTGTTCAGGCTGGCCTTAAACTCCTGGGCTCAATCTATCTTTCCACCTCAGCCTCCCAAAGTGCTGGGATTATAGGTGTGAACCACCACATCCAGACTAAATTATTTATTTAATATATGTTTGTCAAAGGTAATAGACTCTAACTCCTTTCCTTGGTGCTTCTGTATTGTATTCTGTTGAGGATGTAAAGGTACTCAGTAAAATACTAGCCTATTCTTTTGAGGAAACCCAGTACATACAATAACATGAATCATATTAATTTAGCAAAAAGGAAAATGCAAGAATGAGTATGGAAGCAGGAATCTGGTAGATTCTGTTCCGTTTATTATAATAAAGATTCCATTCAGGTTCACTCATTACTAAAGCTAAACCCATAGACTGGGGGAAGCAGGTCAGAATTGTAGACTGCTTTCATTCCCATCGTGGGTAATTTTTGCATGGCAGAAACTGACCACCCAAGCAGTGGGGTTTGCACAAGAACCCGCAGACCCCAGGCACTTCAGCCGCTGAAGTTTCCACGTGCATCAGCCCTGTGCTCTGGAGGGGCTTCCGAGTTTGGTTGCCAAGCAGCCCAGCAGGGCTCCCCAGGGAGTAGGGAAAGTGGGCCAGCCCACCAGCCAGCCTCTGTTCACTCTCACTTGGCAGGAGTTGCAGAGGGCAGGTCCTCTCCCAGCCAGCTGGCCGCCTCCCACTTGCAAGCCCAGCAAGTCTGGGCCAAACTGCCTCGCTTCCGTTCTCTGTGGCTGTGAGTTTCCCCAGCACAGCTTCTGGTGGAAGCAAAGGCAGCTGGCACAAACAAACAGCCCCTCAGTCCTGTTCTTGACACACTGTTGCCAAAATTCAGTTTGAAGGAATAAAAGGCAAACATAAACCTCAGCTCCTGCTGGAGAAGTTGTTTAAGCTTAAAAGAAACCGAAGGGAGTGAGCAGCTCAACTGCTCTAATTTACTCACACATTTCTGCTGTCAAACTGCGGGAAAGATTCCCCTCTGGAATAAAAGAAAAGCTCTTCAAGACATCTGTCAACTTATTTCTGAAAAGTCAGCTTCCACAATTGGCGACTCTAAGAAAGGGGGGCATCAGGAGCACTGGCTGTCATGATAGCTTTTGCACGGTTGGCTGGGTAGGCGGGTAATACAGGTGCCTGGGCCTCCTTAGCTTGATTGCCATTAGCTGCTAACAGGGGTTTTTCACCTTATTGATGCCAAAGGCCCCTCTACAGTCTGGAGAAGCCTACGGAGTGATGCTTATAACACATAAAATATAACAGATTGTAAAGAAAACCAATTAGACTGAAATATAGTTATCAAAATGTATTCAAAGCAGGGCTAGTGGTATGTCAGTCTATATTCCCAAATACTCAGGAAGCTGAGATGAGAGAATCACTTGAGTCCAGGAATTCAAGACTAACCTGGGCAACATTGTGAGACCCTATCTTAAAGAAAAAAAAAAATCAAGCAACAAGATTTGGTGGTAGTTCTAAAAACTATCTTCATTTTAAAGTAGTGATGGTTGTCAATGCCACTTCAAGAGGTCTCTTAAGTGATGTGAAAGTAAATGATTCCTTTGGGAGACAATGTTACAGGGTTTGTTACACATTCATAGCTGAAGGGAACACCAACTTTCCAGCTATGGGTTAATGAAAAGAAAAATGCAATGTTTTTCTCATCCAAGTTTTTGGACGCCTCTGAATTTTACCCACAGACCCATCCATGGAACTTAGGACTCCTAGATTAAGTTGTTTCTTTTTCTGGACTGTTGAGAAAGAGCATAGAAAAATAGGTGCTAGGTGGCCTGCTGGCTCCACTTTCTAAGTCCAGAGAAGGGGCGCCATCTTGCCTGGAAGCCTCTGGCCAGTCAGCTGTCTACCGCCATGTTCTTCCTCTTCTCCATCTAATTGGTCCTTTAGGGTGCAGTAGATAGTACCCTTCGGATGTTGTTCCTAGTCCCCAAGGGCTGGCACAGGGCTGTGAATATCCTCTGTGGTCCCACAGCAACTATGTCTACCCCTATTATTGATCTTCTCGACCCTGGTGACATGACCTGCTTATACTATCTGTCCCTACCCTTTGCACAAAAGTGGGGGCTCCTTTGAGGCAGCAATAATGGCTTACTTATTGTTATGTTCTTGGTGTTGAGCACATGGCTTAGCACATGGAAGACCATTAATATATATTTGCTGAATGGATGAATGGATAGACGAAAGCTGTGACCATGCTCAGCCTGCCTGTCATTGTAAGAATACTCCTCATTTCACACCAGAGATTCTTAATCCCAGTTATATTTGAGAATGGCTTTTGGAGATTTTAGAAAATACCCCTCAGAGGTTCAGATTCCAAAGCTCAGGGGTGAGGCCTTGGCCTTTGTATTTTTTAAAAACCACCCAGGCACAGCTATGGTTGAGAACTCACAGAACCACAAGAATAACAGTTGAAGTTAGAGTGCAATGCATGAACTTCTCAAATGAATTTCTTTCCTACATCCAGAAAGGTAAAATTAGTGTAGAATTCTGAATTCTGCAAGGGTCGAAACATGTAAATTGGGTTTCTTAAAATCAGAGCCAGGTCATAGTTCTGAATCCAGTAATATCTGTCATAACTCATCTAAACTCTCAGACTTAGATGTAAAAATTGGGGGCTTCACAGCTAAGACTGTGAAACAAATTGCAAACTCCAAAGGCAAGCACAGTGAGGCCCTACTCTGTCCTCTCACTCCAAGAAATCCTTGGGAAAGGGCCCAGTCTTGCTTCACAGTACATCTTACTGAGGATTCCCAGTTGTGTGTTTTCCTCATCTAAAAGTAAAGATGATGATAATAATGCCAGCCTCAAAGTATTGTTGAGACACAAAAGGAGGTGGTGGGGATGAAAGCCAATTGTAAGTCACCAGACGTGTTACAGCATCACCTGGAAGCCTATTTGAAATGCAAGTCTTGGGCCCCCACCAGACCTACTGACTCAGGAACTTTAGGGACTCAATATCCTGTGTTCTAATAACCCTCCAGGCGATCCTAATGCACATTCAGTTTAAGAACAGCTCTACTAGAAAACCATCACCACTCCCACACTGACCCTCGCTGACTATGTCCAGGCAGGCAGGACAGATTATGGTCTGGAGCATAGTTTTTAGTTAAATTGGAGTATAAGATCTGATTAGTGTCTTGGTCATCTCATGGCCTTCAGTGAGTTATGACTCTCATTTACATTTTCTCAACTATAAACTGGGCATCATTCCAGGACCTATTTCACAGCAGCCTGAGATGATATGAATGAAGGGTTTGGCATATGCTACCTGTTCAAAGAATGGTGCTGCCATTGTTACCCTCTTCATAATTGTTTACGATATGTTCTCTCTCAACATGATTCAAGGTAAGTTCTAACAAAGACACAAATACATAAGTAAACAGGATAGTTAAAAATTAAGAAAAAAAGAAATAAAAATATCACACACAGAAAGTGGAAAAAGTGAAGGTTGAAAAAGTCACTATAGCTGAGTACAGTGGCGTGCACTGTGTTACCAGCTACTTGGGTGGCTAAGTCTGGAGGATCACTTGAGTTTGAGACTATAGTCTGGGTAACATAAAAAAAAGTGACTACAATTATTGTCTAAGTTGGAGCCTGAACTTCCCTGTGTGCCTTGTTCCAGCTCCCTGAAAAGAAGAAGGAGCCTGGCTCTTCTGGAGAGAGTATCATTCCCCTGCCCTGCTCTGAGTTGGGCAAAATGTTGCTTGAAGTCACAGATTTGGGTGGATAAATCTTTGTGTGAAGGCCTGTGTAATGGGAGGGAGTCACCAGGAGTACTCCAAGCACCTGTCACTTTAATTAATTCTCAAAAAGAGCTGGGGCAAAACCCTTCAATCCCAGAATCAAAGAGATGTTACACTCACTTTGGGTGCCGGATGTCAGGGAGAGAACGATTCAGGGAGATTTTATCACTGACGTAGATGTTAAATCCATTTTCTCGGTATGCCTGATCCACTCGCTCAGCATCACTCATGGGGTAAGGCCTCCCTTGTTCTCCATTTCCTAGAGGCAAAGAGCAAATTCAATGTTGCTAATAACATGCATGGGGGTACTGTATATGGAGTGGGGAAAGAAGGGTGAAAAACAGGACTAAAAACAGATAAAACTTTACACTTAGATGCAGAGCATAACTCCAGATTTTGCAGCAGAGGGTGCCAAGAGGGGAGCGGAATGGCATTTCTTTAGTCACTTTACAGATTTTGTGCTCATGTAATCACAGCAGCCCTGCAGAGTAAACATGAGAGTTCTCATTGCTTAGAAAAATAAACTGAGACTCAGAAAAGTTATCAACCTGGGGTTTGTGGCTTCCAAAGTCTACATTCCTTCCACTTGGTCAGGAGCCCCAAACATCCTTGCTTTCAGAGAAGACCAATTGTCTGGACAGGAGGCCAGGCCCACCATTTATGAGCTGACCAACCTTCGGCAAGTCATACCAGCTTCTTCCTCTGATACCCACAGCACATTTGGGAGAGTCAAAAGAGAGGCTGCCTACACAAAAGCTCTCTGTAAACTATAAAATACTACACAAACATGAGAAAAATTATTCTCTAGCTAAGGCAAACTTTATATGTAAACCAAAATTGCCATAAATGACAAAGGATGCTTTGATTTTTTAGTTTGTATAAAAATTTTAAAAATTGTATTATTATTTATTTCCGTAGAATGAACAATAGTTCAGCCAGCTTTGATGTTGTTAAAAGCCAGCAAACAAATTAAGATCTGCCTTCAGGAATTGCCTGAAAAGTGTTGCTTTGAGTCACAGATTGGGGTGGATAAAGTGGTAGCTCTCCCTTCTCTGTATAATCTTTCTGGGAGAAAGAGTTCCTGATGCTCTAGGAAATTATTCTCTGGGTTTCTTGGGTGAGTGGTAAAGTCCACGCCAAACTTTGCAATAGTAGCCCAAGAATCTGCTATTGGTGAATGTCTTGAAGAAATGGAAATAAACCAGCTGGTTCAATATCACCTCACCTTCCGAGTTTATGGTCTGAGCAATACCCATTTACTTTGCAAAGTAAACACTGACAACATAGGCTTGCCAGGAAGGTAAAAGCTGGGAGGTGGAGCCCAGGGGCTGGGGCTACTCCAGTTCAGTCAGGTGAGGGACAGGACTCCACCATCCATAACTTGTAATACTCTGTGATAAGACATGGCTGACTAGAACCTAGGATAGATTCTGTAAGGGACACGAATACAAGAAGCAGCAAAAAAAGACCAGAAACATTTTAGAGGGAAGCCTCAGGAGGGCAATTCAGGGGAGCCATTCAGAGTTTAGGCTCTGGAGCTCGGCAAAGCAGAATTTGAGACCAGTCCCACCTGTCTCCAGCTATGTTGTCTTGGGCATGACTTTATAGCCCTTCTAAATCCCGGTTTTTGGCCTCTGTATTAATTGGAACAAGAAGGTTCAGTGTGATGATTAAGGAAGTACAGTGAGGAAAGACGCCTGGCATATAGCATTAAACAAACTCTAGTTAGAGTC